AATTTGTATTTTAGAAAGACATAAAAATTGTAAATGCATAATAACATGTACACAATGAATCTTTCTCGCAAATAAAATAAGGATGAGCCAGTTATTAAAAAAAAAAAAAATATTAATAAATTAAATGGTTTTTAATTTTTTATTTGTATTTATTTTAATCTGATAGTCATTATAAATTCTACTAATCCAGAGTTATTTAGTTTATTGCAGTTAAATACTTTTTAAAGTGTAGATTTTTGAATAATAAATTATACTATTTAATATAGATTTGTATAAACATTTTTGTTTTTGAAAAGTTTTCTTTTATATACTGCTATTATATATTTTTAGGACAATATGCTATATTACATTATATTTAAAATTCTATTCTAGATAATAATATCCTGTTTAAAACATAGAGAACTTGTTTGTCCATTATCTTTTTATTTTTTAATTTCTATAGATTTATTTTTATAAAAACTATTGTAATATTTTTTTGTTAAAAATAATTCATCAAATCTTATTTATAAATAGTATACTTATAAACTTTTCTAGTTGAATATTATTTATGTAAAAGTTGATTATTTTTTTGTTGATACAGTTTTTACTTTCCTGAAACTAAAAAATTATTTTGACAAAAAGTGATCAATAGAAAAGAGTTTTTTTATTATAATTTTAAATTTATTTATTTAAAAAAATATATAAAATTAATAAAAATCATTTTTTTTTTTAAATATTACTTTAAGAAAAATTGATTTTATATACATATTAATTTTATTTGGTAAAATATAAGTAAAATTAATTTTTAGGTATTCAAGTAAAATTTGAAAATTTTTTATAAATCGGAACATACAGTATTAAGAAAAGTTGTAATTTTTTTTTCAATCCATTGTATAACATTAATAATTGTAAAAATTTTCTTTTCTTGTTTGAATATCTGCAAACAAACTTTACGAATTGTTTAATTTATACTGGAATCAAAAACATAGAATCAAATACGTTCATCTTTAAAAAGTTGTTGATACAATTTGCAAAAGATGATTTATTAAATATTTATAAGCTTGCAGATGAAGTTGAGAATATATAAAAATAAAATATTAAAAGGATATACTTTATGCTTAACTTGGACAACCAATTGGAATTTGGGTAGTTATTAGTGACATCAGAAAGCAGTAAATTGATGTTCTAAGTCATGACTACGTGATAGTGTCACGCGACCACAGAATTATACGAGACTTTCGAGCACTAAAATAATTAATTGAACGTACAGTAATTTGGCTATGTGATTCGAAAACGCCTAGAATTACTAGTCCCCCAATTTCCATATCAAAAAAGTGCCACCATTATTAACCATACTCCTATCATGGTAGCCCCACCTTCCCCATATCTCGCTTCCATTCCTCTGTCCATAATATTTCCAAAAGTGAGTTCTGTATTTCTTAACGAAACTGACAGAGTCATCGTCAAAAATCTGTCCATTTATTAAGAATCTTCCGACACTGTCTAAGCCGGAACCATCAACCACACCCCCGCAAAATCTCAAATCAATCGACATTCGATCATTATTGTAACCCACATCATAAAAGTAATAACCGCCCCAATTTCCTGTAAGTGACCGCGTCTCAACACCAGAGGCTCGTCTAATAATAAAACTATGTTGATTGTTGTCACCCCATTTTCCGAAAAATAGTTCATGGTTATAACAACCTCGATAAATCCAAGTTAAATCTCGATTCGTGTAAGACTTGGTAAAAGTGATAGTTCCTGAAGATGAAGATGGATCAAAGTAACCATTATTGATAGTGTAAGGACCTACAACATCCTTTCCACTACCGGTGAAAGAGAGACTTGAAATGTAAGGGAGCTTGTCAGAAAAAGTTAATTGTACGGTTGACAAACTTGGCGGATACAGTTCATTGATTTCGAATATGTTGTATTGCGCACCCTCCTGAGGCATGACAGACCCTTGATAAATAAAAGAAACCGGTCGTTAATTCGCTGTTAAGTTTAAATTGATGATAAATTACCTTGTAATTTCTCCTCATACCTACCTTGTTGACTAACACCAAAACTTAACAACTTTCCAAAAGCCTCTTTGAAATCGGCAAAGAATCTTTCTTGATTATTAGCATAGATAGCGACTATCTTTTTGAATTCTGGATCATCAAATAACGCCATGTCAGTGGAAAGCATTATTGTTGACATTTCAGGAACTCTGTAGGCTTCGTTGTCCTTAATATTTTGGCCGCTCTGGTTTTTCTGACTAGCAAGACTTTTAAGATTTGCATAGCTTGTAATATATTGTTAGCATACATTTGATGTGTGCTTTCCAAATGTTAATATTCATGATCAAATGCTTACTATTCGTTGGTGAAAATATTATTTTTCACCGTCCATTGGCCATCTATACCCGAATTCTCAAGATGACAGCGACCAACAGTATGAGCCCCCATTAAGGCCACGATTTCACTTTCAAAGAGATTTAGATTAATAGAGAAATGACGTAATAATTGTATGACGTAAACCATTCTCATGGACCTACCGATCCGCGAATCCCATGCGGTTGAATACTCGACGTATCTCACTTGGTTTTAAACCAGGGAGAAGTTCTTCACCCTCTATCCCTCCATCCTTACGGCCAGGCACCCATGGGATAATCAAGCGACTGCCACTCAACATTTCAATGGAAACCGCACCCGCAAGGGTCCAAAGATCGGCATCTAATTGTTATTTCGTAAATTATTTATTTAATTTAAATCATTCGTGTTGCCATCCAAACTTCAGATCCCAAATCTCGATGGAAAATGGGAAATCCCAAATCTCCAGCCAAAATATATTATAAAAAATTTTTTCCCTGTAAAATTTGAAAATCGTGGTATTTCCGGTTCCCCCAAAGGTTGGACGACGATAATAAACTCAATAATAGAAAAAAAAAACAACTTACTACTAAAACTCCATTGACATTTTAGTCTTACTTTTTCTAATTCATTTGTCGCCTTTTCTAAACCACGATTTTTTCTATTGCTGGGATCATAGGTGATTGTGTTCGAACGTTTGTCATAACTCCCTGCAACGTGAAAAGCTAGACGTATAAAAAGCGGCCCAAAAATTATGTTATTTGTTATGATAGTACTGATTTCAGCCCTCGCGGCTTTTTCTTGACCGTTGTTGGACATTTTTATCGAAAACCTGATCTCGATTGTGCATTTAGTAATCAGCCATTATATACAATTATAGCGTCCAAACGAAATTATTAGTGCCAGGCACACTTTTAATTATTGACAATATAGTAATGTTTTAGTTTCCAAAATAAATAATTCGTACTTTTTATGACTTTTTTTCCTTTAACACAAGTAAAAATTATATATATGTATTACTAAAATGAAAAGCTTATAATCTCAGGCGTAATCTTATTATTTTTATTTTTTAAACAGCTGCGCAGGTAAATTTAATTTTCTTTATTATTACTTGTGATATTATAAATAAGTTCTACTTAATAGATTTTTTATTTAAACAAATATCATATTAAATTTTGAATTTTAATAATACAATTTTGAAATAAATTCAAATTGTAAAATTATTATTATTATTATTTTAAACCTGTAGTTAAGACAATATTGTATATTTATTAATTATTAAAGAAACCAATAGAGATATATAGAACAATTACATTATGACCAAACTAAATTTCATATTGACTTATTTATTAATAACTTTTAATTTTCAAAAGAATCTTAATCTTGAAAAGTAATCCTGAGAACAATATTTTGCTTAATAACAAATTTTATATAAATATCTTCTTAATTTATATATTATTGTTAGAGATTATTGCTACCTATTATTCTTCAAGAAACTAATTTTGAGAAACTACAAAAAGAAAAATTAAAATTAAAGAAAAAGGAATATCTAAAAATATATAATTGTACTATATAAAAATAAAAATAAAAAATAAAAGTATTTTATTTTCTCCAAAGAATCTTTGTTAGAAATTTTTTTTCATTAGAAATCAACTTTTCTGAAATATATTTTTTTTTGACTATTTAAGGAACCTATTTATTTATAATCTTGATTATTTTTTGTAACTATCTAAAGTACTTATTATTTATTTAAATCTAATATTCTATTTGATATTTTTTTTTCCAATATTGATTTTGAATCTATTTATATAGGCCAATAACTTATAATAGACTTCGGATTTTTATATAACCTTTTAATTATGTTATATAATTTCAATATTTTTCAGTAACTATGCTTAATTACAATAAATATTTTTTACTAATGATTATCTTTAATTATCTAAAAAGTTGGATTTTTTAATAATTTTTTTGTTTTATAATAATAAAGAATTTTAATCAAATAGAAATACTTAACAATTATACTATTATTATATAATATTTTAAAAAATATTTTTTATAGATATAATAATTTACAATTTTATGCTTTTTCAATTTTATTGTCTAATTAAAATAAAAAAAAATAAATTTCTTTATATATTTTGTCTAACTAAAATAATAAAAAATTGAAGGTTTACTTGTAGATCAATAACACAGTGATAATGCTCCTAGGTTGTAATTACAAGGTCTATAGTTCAATACCACTTAAGGATCAAAAATCAAAATTACACTTTTGATCAGGTTTACTGGTTATTCTATGAAAGTCATACTCAATCATTCAGAACAAGCTTTAATCAGATTAGATTGTATGAAGATAGAACTTCTGACCTTTTATCAATTAGAAGTTGAGATCTATAGTTATACTACTGGAAGAATTGCATGAAAAAAGGCTTTTGGTCTAGCCCATCATAAATATTCTATAGATCCTCTGTCTTGATAGTCTCTAGAATCCCTGCTCTTCTAGCTCAGGATATCCCAATATGGTACTTCACTTAATTAAAAATTAATCAAATGGAACTGATCTAATGCCACAAGTGGTGACAAAGAAAGTAAAGTGTTCTCTTTCAAGATCTAAATGAATATATCTCCAAGAGTATTGAAAGGTAAACTAAATTCTATTGGATATATACTATATAGCCTAGTTTAGTAAATATAATATAAAGATTTATAAAACTCACTACTAAATTAGCCTGTTTTACCATTTATGACTGTGTATTTAACTGTTCGGCCCCTAATTGGATCTGTTTCACTCATAAAGTGGTAGCAGGTCCATCTAGAAAAAATTACAATAGATTATCATTAATCTGTATATATATATATAAATATATAATTTGTATATAATGATTTAATGTAATACCCTAAAGAATTTTATTATCTAAGATATTAAGTTAATTCTTAATAAAAGTACTTGTATTTAATATTAGTTACAGTTTAAAAAATAAAAAAAAAATTTAAAGATTTTAACTTAAACAAATAATTACTTTTTCACCATATAAAAAATTTAATACTTATTTTAATAGTCTCATAGTTTTTTTGCTTCAGTTATAGTTTTATTAATAATTTTTTCTTTTTTCATTAATAATATTATAAAAGGGCTATAAATTTATAATACAATAATAATGTTTTTAAATTATAATTATAAGGTTTATAATTCAATACTATATGAAGATTATATAAAAAATTTATAGAATAAAAAAATTATCTATAATATAAAACGCAATCAGGTATATGTAAAACATTAATTATCTCTATTTTAATTTTATACAAATAGTATTTTTCTACTTTTGATTTTAAGTGAATTTCTTTTTCTAATAAAGATATAGTTAATATAGTTAAATAATCCTCTGATCACATACAAAAAAGATGTTTGCAAAAAGTTTTTACACTTCCTTGCTAATAAAGTCTAAACATTTTCCTTAAGAACACTTTTAGAGCAAATACATAAGAGAGTGGGCGGTTGCCTTTAAGATAAGTCCCTTATTATAGAAGAGACTCTATATTGTTTCTCTAGTATATAAATAGATAGCAGCACTTCAGTTCTTCTTCCTTTCAGAACTTTCTTACTATTAGTAGGAAAAATAAATTCATGACTTTGGTCACTGAAAGTTGGGTTTTTGTTTGAAGAAAATGTTTACAAGAGGAAGGGGAAGACAAAGATAACTCTTGAAATGTTATTTCAAGTTGATTTAAAGAAAGTGGTAAGACTTTATTAGTCAAGAAATATAAAAATTTCTTGTAATCAAAGGATTAATAACTTTTCTAGTTTTATAATTAATAAGCTGATCTATATATATTAACTTATTATATTTTAGTAATAGAATTGTCGAATGATCTTTAATTGAACTATTTCTGATACTTTAATTAAAAACATTATTTCACTTTCAGCTATGAAAGGATATTTCCATATACTGTATTTAATCAGTTTCAGTACTTTTAATGTAAAATTGTCTCTTCTCAAAAGATGATTTAATAAGTTATATATGAGCAGATTGAGGGATTTTCAGTATTTAATTTGTAATTGCTTTAATCTAATAATTATTGTGATTTCAGCTAATTCTAAGTCATTTAATCTATTGTATAATCCTGTTATCTGACTTTCTTTTTGCAACATTCAAATATTCTTTAAATTATAAATTCTGGAATAGTATATTACACAATTAGGTATGAATTGGAATAGTATAGTCTTATTTTTGAATAACTTTTTATATATTATTGTTAAAACATTACACATTTATCAGGATAGTATACTATACTGTATACTGAATTTGATTCTGGATATTAGAACTCTATTCAAAATATAAAGTGCTTACTTATCAATTACCTTTTGTTCTTTAGAAACTTGACAACCATATTAATTTCTTTAAATATTTATTTTTTGAGCTCAATAGCAGATTTTTGATTACCTATCCAGATCTTTAGGAATTTTGTCTATTCAACTCTATCCAATTCTTTAACTACTTTTTTGTTGACCCCTGCTTGAACCTCTTCTGGATATTGATTGGAGTTATTAATAGTAATTAATACTGATTTGCTACTATTAATCTGTGAGTTATTTGCCCTAT